GACCCCTGGACTATACAGTACTTGGCTAATAACTTGGCTCTAGTGTGAATGGAAGTGCATGGTGTCAGTAGAACAACTGTAAAATCTATGCAACCCTTAACTGTCCAGTGGTCCAAATTGGAGTCTTGGCCCGGCCAATTCTAGCCCCTGGGCCTCATATTTGACACCCGTGATGTACAGCCTGTACTGTAGCCAGCATATATGCCTGTGTGACATCATCAGGTTATGGGGCAGGGCTTCAGTGGGGTGCAGTAAAGCCTGATAAACAGGAGCGCTGCTGTTCGTCTATGAAAGGCTCCACGTCTGTTTGTCAGGCTGTGGTTACAGGTTCGTCTCTCATTTATGTCTCGGTTCATGTCTGACTTTTGTTTTCGTGTGCGCGCCGCTCTCTTCACCTGGTTTCAGAGGCCTGAGGAAAACGATGCCATAACTTTAATACACGCCCCTGCTGGATTCACAAAATAATTACCCACACTTGCCATCTGTTTGTCATGATTTTATCTCTGCTAACTTATTTGCATATTAAAGCATTAATTAAAATCTCCGAGGAAAGCAACGCTTACTTTAAAACGAACTCTGAAGGCGATCCGTGCACGGCTTCCAGAGATGTTTTATTTTTGTTTGCATTGTTTGTTTGTTGCTTTGGTGGGGTTGTTTGTTGTTTACACAGTTTAGTGTGATGTTTATTAACTGTGTCCTCTGGCTAAAGTCAGCCGGCAGGATGTGCCAGACTCTGGAGAAGAGCCACGACGTTTCTGTGAATGTGTGTCATTAAATCTGGGATTTCTTCGTCTTTTTTCTCTCTTTCTTTGCACCACAAACCTGCACGCTGCCGGATCTATTTCCATGCTCCTCTAAGCTGCCGAGAGATGTGATTAGCATTTCCACCATCGCTCGGCGTTAGTGTGGCGGGACATTTTGGGGGAATTGTAATAAGGGAATTTTTAAGCTCTGTTCTGTGGTTTTTAGAGCCACACAGCTGGGATTTGTCTTGGCTTGGCATATCCAGGTGGGAGGAGTGACGATTGTATTAAAAAGCAAATCTTTCCATCAGAAAACAGCGGGCGGCCAGATCAAGTGTTCTCGCTCAGTCACATTCCCCGGGTCGCCGAGGAATATGTGAAAATTTCATTCTTCTGAAGGAAAATAAGTGTGGGCATGAACGTGAGTGACAGAGGGGCTGCGGCGGCGCCGTGTGTTTGTCACAGTCACTGATACGGACGTTGTGCGTTCATACATGTGTCTCTTGTATGTGTGTGGTTTCATGGCGATGTGGGGGGTGATTGAAGATGCGCATATTTAAAAGGCGAGAGAGAGAGGGGAGGAAATCTGGGGCCTCTTGTCTTTGTTTACAAGAGTCTGATTTTTCATGTCTGTTGCCACACTGCTCCATTTGATCAGTGGCCTGTTTACTGTTAATTATTAATTATTTACCCACTTGAAATATTCATGCAGCCCGGCCCTGGTGGAAAGCAGCTTTTTTCCAAGGGGCAAGTTATCTGTGTAGCCACTACAAGGTGGAGCTGTTTATACGCCCTTATCAGCAGACTGTGTAACCCAGCTAATGAACTGAACTTCCCTGCCCAGCTCTCCCTGAACGTGGGCTTGGATGAGGGGGCTCGCAGCATGTTTACCTGTTTGATGCTTAAATATTTGGCTTTGGATTTGGCCAACGTGTGCAGCCCGTCAGCTGCTCTGCAGCAGAGGAGCTCCGCGATAACGCTGGAGATGGTGTGTGTCAGCGAGGTGTAGCTATTGTCTCACCGAGTCATAATTACAAGTGTGGTGTGTGTGTGCAGGACACTGCTTCCTATGAGGGGACCTGCAGCACTGTGACCCCAGCCAATCAGAGGGAACCTCTTCCTATATAAAGGTGGCATTCAAACTGCATGGCCCTCATTTCCTTAGAGGTGAAAACTGTACTGATGTTTGAGCCTCGGAGCATCTCAGACACTCGTGTTTACTAAATCTGCTCATCAGTAGAATTATTCAGTAAAGTCTTTGTCGCTACCAGAAGCTTTCAGTGAGAGAATGACTTTAACATCTGCACATGAGACGTCTCATGAACGCTGCTGCAGCTAAACAACCTGGAGGACCGAGACCACGTCGAAGGATCCTGCTGGACTCGGAGCTGAAGCTGCAGTGCAGCGTGAATCCAACAGCACACCTCTGAAACTGTGTTTCTGCCCAATCTGCTGCTGATGTTTCCACAAAAAAAACCTGCAGCCTCATGTAACCATGTGATCCAGTGTTACTCTGGTTTGCATCAAAGTACATGACAGACTGCTGCATTACGCTCAGCTTTGTGTTTATACAACTAGCAATAGTCAGTTAGGAGGTGACGACTCTCACACAGCGTCTCCCGTAACCTCGTCAACAAACATGGTTTAAACCTGGCATTAGTCTCATGTTTCAGTAACACTACAGGTAATAAATGGAATAATAGCACAAGTTTTATTTAAGTAAACCAAACTGTCAGTAAGGTGCAACCTTCTAAGACTACATGTTCACTGTGTGTGTTTATGTCGCAGGTTTTCCACTGTAATGAATTTGAGCCATAATGAGGCTGCTCCCTGAGCCTGGGTCTCCCAGAGGCTTCTTCCTGTTAAAAGGGAGTTTTTCTTCCCACTATCACCAACGTGCTGGCTCACAGGGGTCACATGATTGTTGGGTTTTCTCTGTTTTTTTACCTTCCAATACAAAACGTCTCGAGGCAAAACTGAACACGAGGATCATGTCTGATAAATGACCGTGAAAAGATCAGCTCTGACTTTACCCAACAATGCTGACTGTTCACACCTCGGTTTAGCTTAGCGACTGCCTTTGGATCGCTTTGCTGTGAGCGACGAGACATCTGAGAAAAGATGCTTGTGCCTGCTAGGATCTGTGGAGAGATTGCTGGGAGAAATGAACTGCACAGGGGGGCATCATTTGGAGAAGAGCGTGAGACAAAAAGGTCTCTGGGTACGTGTTTGGGCCCCTTCCTGTCACGGTCAGTCCCAGGAGGGTAGCTAGGTGACGGGACAGCCTGACCATGCATGTAGTCAGCACTCAGGTTTGAGCTCACATCATGATGACACTGCTGCTCTGGGGAATAAAGTGCGTAGGCAGACAACAGCAACCAGGCAGAACAAGCCTCCCAGCAATGCCTCACAGGGCAGCGAGGAATGGCTTAGAGTAGCTGGAGGGAGCAGGGTTCACTGCTCCCAGATCAGCCCTGTACGAACACACAACTGTGAGTGTCTTTATTATCCTCATCTTATCTTAGACCAACTGTCAAAACACCAAAAGCACCAACATTATACAAATCTGTCAAAACTTGTTTAAACCTCAAAGTTATTTTGTTATTTTTCAGGCAACTGTGAGAAATAATAAACGACTAAAACTCGTTTTTCTGTCAATAACTGTCATCTGGCTAAAATAATGACCATGATGAACATTTATGGTTAACAACTACAATTATATATTTACATTAAAATGTAATTGTCATTAACGAGCACAGAAATAAATTATTCTTTCCAGAAGATTGTTGGTAAAAACCAATCTTGTTCATGTGAGGCCGCTGTGCCGTAACACTTATATATGTGCGAGATGTTTGGTCATTAGCTGGGAATCATATCGTATATGTGAATACTGGTTTCACTTCAGCGTGTTTAAACTCCAGTTTTGTCCTCGCTAACATGCAGCCGTCGACGTTTCTCTCATGATACCTCTGAAAGGGACAAAGCTGGATGAGTCTCTCCAGCAGTCGAGGGGGGGTTGCTGAGGGGTAGGGGGGCAATCCCCAGTCTCTC